GTGTTGCTGTAATATTAATATCTACTTTTTGATATTTGTATGCATTGAATTAATCTTATTGGACGGCTAGTTATTTATATGTTTTTTAATTGGGCTACGTTAATTTGTAAAAGGTACGATTGAAATGTCATTAGTTGTATTTATGTAGTCTTGCTGTAAATATTAAAAAATTTAATTATGGTACGGAACCGAACCAATCCGAACCGAACGGAATCGAACCCGAACGGTTCCATAATTATATTTAGACCTGACGAGTTCATTTATTAAATACCCGAAAGTTTTAAGTCGGTTCGGGTCTCTTCAGAATCGAACCGAACCGAACCGACCAACGAATTCAGTTAATTAATCTTTTAATTAACTGAATATATATATATATATATATATTTTCTTCTTTATTTTAGTATATCATAGCGTAATTAATCGAAAGAAATTTATTAATATTTAATATGGTATATATATCCAAGTGTTGCAATTTCATTATTGCTTTCGCACGAAAATCTTTCACACAACAACCAAATGGCTAGAGTTCAAACACTCGACATTTGGTGAACGTCCTTTGCAATGCTTCTCCTTTTTTTCTTGTCGTAAGTCATTTAAAGAGTAAAAATAGTCATTGAAGTTATTCACAATAGCCAACTTGATCTCTTCACCAGGGATCTTTGAGAAAGTTGTCGACCTATTTTTTTGGTCCATGTTTAGGTTAGGGGTATTAAGTTGAGCGAGCTGAGTCGACGAGCAGTAAATTTCTTGTGAAAACCGTTTATCAACTTCGATTAAGCAAACTGACTCGCTTGATAGATCAAGCTAAGTCCAAAGGTAGACGAGTAATTTGACTCGACCTATTTAGCATCCCTAATTAAGGCTAATTTATTTTCAGAACATAAATTTCAGTTGAAAACTAGGGGCTTGGGTGGATATATATTAATTATTATTCTATCGGTAGGTAAGGAAACAAGGGGCTATCATAATTCATAACACGATCCGTTGAAGTAAAATGCGCATATCTGCCTATCATTTATTCCCTCTTTTTCTTTGTACATTTTCTTTGTTAATTTGGATAAAAGTGGAAGTAATATTCTCCTATATAATTCAACTTTGTGTGTCAAACATGCAATTATTTAATTTCAAAAGTAAAAGATATGATCAAGTTGAATATACAAATACATCGACTACAAAGAATATAAATTATAAATAAATAATTATAATTGCAGATCTATTTTATTTCAAAATAAGTGTACGCATACGCCGACTAATCACATACTTCAAATTATA